GATTTAGCTCAGTGGTTCTGCCGCCTGCCTTGCAAGCGCAAGGTCCTGAGTTCGATCCCCAGTACCAAAAAAAAAAAAAAAATCCAGAACAAGTTGTTTCACAAGTGTAATATCCCCAGCATTAAAGAATTGGAGACTATTTCCAATAGTTCCTAGACTATTAAATAATAACATTTTTGTTTATGTTTAAGCATAAAAATAGCAAATTGGGAATCACAACTAATCTTTACCTAAATGATTCTTTTTCCCTTTTTCTGTAATTTAAAAGGTATATATGAAATATTTTTCCTAAAAGATAAAAATTCTTACCTTGAATATTTTTACATCCTTTTGACATATGTTGTACTAAATCCTAATTAGATTACCAACTTGAAATTTACTCATAGTTTATATTCACTCTATTTAGATGTAAAGATTTTTCATCATGTCTGGCTTCTGTTAATATATTTGCTAAAAATTAAAAAAGCAAAAAAATTCTTTTAATTTAAAATATATTTAGAAGTGTATTGCACATGAGAGGTAATGTAAAAATACAGTAAAATTTTAAATTTTAGAAATGTATTACAGTAAAAGACACATTGCCATTAATCATCCTAGAAATATTCCTCCTCTCCTTGAATGCATTTTTGTCATCATTCTTGCCACTTTCTGAAGCAGTTCTGGAAATTCTCTTGTATGAGCATCTTTAGTTGTGCTGTTATAGCTACTTTGATGTCCTGAATCAATCCATTTACCATTCATGGTCATTTTGAATTTGGAGAAGAGCAGAAATCGCTTCGTGCCACGTCCAGTGAATAACGTGGATGAGGACAGGGTGTAATTTTTTTTTTTTTGGTACCAGACATCGAACTCATGACCTTGTGCTTGAGAGGCAGGCAGCAGCACTAAGCTAAATCCCCGGCCCCAGGGTATAATGTTTGTATGAGGCTGCCTTCCTGTTGGATGGCATGTGGCAGTGGTATTTATCATAATTTTGATCACACCTAGTAAAGATATGAAAAAAGACTTCATAAGTTTCAGAACTTCATCACAAAGTGGCAAGAATGATGGAATAAATGTGTTTGAAGCAAGAGGGGGAGTATTTTAAGAGGGACTAATAGCAACATGTCTTTTACTGTAATACTTTTTAAACATTCATTATATTTTAATCACACCTTGCATAAAGGTTATGTGAAAAATCAAAGTATGTTTAATTAGAAGGATAGTTATATTTTTATTATTGGCTGAAGATATTTTTACCAAAAGCTAATGCCTCTTTTTGTTTGCAGAAAAGAAAGGAACCAGTTTTTCACTTTTTTTGTGACACCTGTGATCGTGGTTTTAAAAATCAAGAAAAGTATGACAAACACATGTCTGAACATACAAAAGTAAGTGTTATTAGTTGTCTTGAAATTTATTTAGCAAAATAGCCTTTAATTTGTGTTTTTGGTAGAAATTCCAAGCCTATGTTCCTTACAAGTTTATAGTTTCCATAGAAATGTGTAATGACCTGACAGATGGGAATAGTGTCCTGGGGATTTGTAGTTTGAAAGTGGGATGCTTACTGCTCCAGGGAGAGATAAGATAGCTGCAGAGAGGGAGGTCTAGCAGCTGCACTGCTTGGGAAGAGGGTGGGGCCTCCGCCTCTTGTTGTCTTCTGTACCTTTGAGTTTTTTGGGTTTTTTCCCTTCAGTACTGGGGATAGAACTCAGGACCTTGCACTTGCGAGGTTGGCGCGGTGCCACTAAGCTAAATCCTTGGCCCTATATCTTTGAGTTCTTTACCTTTAGGGCTCCCCAGACCATTTAAGCACACTGTTACTTGTCATGCGTCACTACCCTCTAAGATGATCCAAATTTTAAGTTGCTTTTTAAAAAAATAATTTAAGCCAGGATGTTTAAATTTTAAAAAGTTCTTGATTTAGAAAAGTTCTCTTTTCATTTATAGGAGTGTTTCTCAACTTCAGAAAATAAGAATGTTTTATAACATTGCTGATGTCCATTTTTATTCAAGAGGAGAAGTAAATGAGATATGCTATGGTGCTATGTACTTAGCGAATGCTATTCTTTTTTAAATGCAGTCTATAGTGATTTTTTTTTTTTTGCAATTGACATAAAAATGAAGGGATGATATCACATAGATGAGATAATTATGTAAAATGACTAGGATATATCTGTGTGTATATAGTAGGAAAATTTTAATGTGAAAAACATTAAATGGTCTTTTTAAAAAATTCTTACAGTGTCCTGAAGTAGATTGTTCTTTTAGTGCACATGAGAAGATTGTCCAGTTTCATTGGAGAAATGTGAGTTTTTAATGTTTTTTTAATCCTATCCTTTTATTGTTATATGATCTTCTTATTAATCTGTTGTTATCATATCTCATTGTTCATATAGTCTAATTATAAGTGACCTTTATGGAGTACTTTGCCCTTTTTATCCCCCTTGTAATACTGGAGATTGAACCCAGGGCCTTCATACTGAGCTACATCCAGCACCTCCCACCCTTTCTTATTTTGAGATGAGGTCTTTCCAAGTTACTAAATAGCTCAGGCTGGATTTGAACTTGGAATCCTCCTGCCTTGGCTTTCTAGAGTACTGGATCACAGGTGTGTGCCTCTGTTCGTTGCTGTACTTTCTACTTTATAAGAGCATATTAAAATTCTTACTCAATTGTAGACTCATAAACACCTATGTGAAGTAAGTAAATATAGGGGAGTGGGGTGGGGAAGGATTTTCCCAAGGCCTCAGAACTTATTCTTGCCTTTCAGTTTCTTTCTTTTTTTGGTACCAGGGTTCAAACTCAGGACCTTGCTCTTGCAAGGCACGTGCAGCACCACTGAGCTAAATCCCTAGCCTTCCTTTGAGTTTCTGAACTCCAAATTCTGTGCTGGTTTTTTATTATGTCATTCTACATAAAATTGTCTTACTTGTGCATTTCTTTAGCTGCCACCCTTAATTTTGGTTGGTAAGTTATCCATTTGGGTATTTAATGTCAGTTGGGAAAATATACATGTACTTTATAACTAAATTACGTTATTCCATTTTCCTATATTATACTATTAATATAAATTAATAAAAATTGTTCCTTCTTTAAAATAAAAGTTATAATGAGGATATATAAAATTGGCTTATTTACCATAGTTTTCAACTTGGTTTTGCTTATAAATTTAATGTTCTATATAGTCTCCTGTTTAGTCAAAAGTGTACAGTATGCTTCCTCATGTTCAGTAGGCTTTTTGCTCCTAGATGCATGCTCCTGGTATGAAGAAGATCAAGTTAGACACCCCAGAGGAGATTGCAAGATGGCGGGAAGAAAGAAGAAAGTAAGTAAGAATTCAAAACTAGTGAAATAACTTTGTTACGGTGGCAGGGCTGCAGCTTCAAAATAATAACCAATCTAGCCATAATGAGGAATGTCAAAAAGGAAATTTGGTATTTTTAACATTACATCATTCATTTGAAAATGACTGATCCTGATTTTGTTGTTCTTCAGAATTGGTATGTAGTGACTTTGAGGATTCTGTTACTTGATGGTTTAAAAATAATCATACAGTTTTTATTAGAGTAGTTAAATTTGTTGCATTCCCTTATAATGTTGGTACTGAGGAACAAGACTATAAGCTACATTAGATGAGATTGTTGTTGAGGTTAGTTTTTATGAAGACTCTGACTAGAAACTCCCTTTATATAACAAATATGGCATAATTGGATTACACTCTTCTCTTTCAGGGAGAACTATTTGCCACCTATTATTGTTTGATGGCCGAGGCAGTAATGGTTGGGTGTTCTTGTTTTTAAAATTAACATACAGTACTTTGCTGTATTTAATTCTTTTGATTGTTTTTTTCAGCACAATTGTTGAGTGTTATATGCCAAGCAGAAGGGGTGCCTCAGGGATTATACAAATGATAAGTTAACTATAAAGAAGACCAAAAATTCATTCCTGTAGTTAATGTTTAAGAAATTCAAGTCTTACCATGTGACTTGTACTTTTATACTTAACAAGGAAAGAAAGTTTAATTGATGTGAAGCTAGAATATACTTAATGGAAAAATTCCACTATGGCTCATTTTATTGTCTTCTCAGTTCATTCTGAGCCAGAAGACTGAGACAGAACTGTTAGAATAATCAGATGCACTTTTAAAGTGAAGTATTTCTTGTAATTAAAAAATATGGCGTGAGGCTGGGGATTTAGCTCAGTGGTTCCGCCACCTGCCTTGCAAGCAGAAGGTCCTGAGTTTGATCCCGGGTACCAAAAAAAAAAAAAAAAAAAAAAAAAATATATATATATATATATATATATATAAATGGGGTGCACAAGATAAAAACAGAGAATTTATTTTTAAAGTTCAAGAAATGTACTTAAAATTCTTGACCAGCAAGTTACATTTGTACTTTGTTCAACTTAGAAGTTTTCAGTTGAAATGCACTTTACATAGGTATTGATATGCCAGATGTTGCATTGTTTTATGAAAAAGTTAATTACTCTCCTTTAAGGCCATAAAGGTAATTCTGAGGGAAACCAAAGAAACAAATTCAGAACCAAGCCTGGCATGGTGGCATGTGGCTATAATCCCAGCACTCAGGAGACTGAGGTAGGAGGCTTTCAAGTTGGAGGCCAGTGTGGGCTACATAGTGAGACCCTGCCTATCTCATAAATGACACTCTGGGAGGAAGATTGCAAATTCAACCCCAGGCTGGGCAACTTAGTGAGAACTTGTGTCAAAAAAGAATGTAACGTAGTGCAATCCCCAGTGAGAGAGAGAGAGAGAGAGAGAGAGAGAGAGAGAGAGAGAGAGAGAGATTGAGATTCAGAACCAATTGAGAACAAATAGAATTCAAGTAAAATATATGATTATCAGGTAATAATTAACCAGGTGTGCAGAAGAAAGAATTACATGAAAGTGAAGGGGTAATCAGAGAAATTTAATTTTCAAACGAGAGTCCAGTCAGTCAACATGAATTTGGTAGCCGTAACAGCATTTCAGGAACATCTTTGTTTAACAAATAAAGGAATCTAAGTGACCTGGAATAGCCTGGAATCCCTTTATCCCCTTTCTCTTTATCTCTTTGGCAAAATCTTGCTTATCTTGTAAGGCCTGGTTTAAAAGTTGCCTGACTTACCACTCTCTTACTTTTCATTTCCTGTATTTTAGTGTTATCAGAGCTCCAGTATATAATAAAGGGAGCTTACACCAGAATGTAAATCTATATACTACTTCCTTTATTGATAAAGTTTTGGTAAGAAAAACAATTTCAGCCAAACGTGGTGGTGCTTGCCTATAGTCCCAGCACTTGGGAGGCTGAGGCAGGAGGATTACTACAAGTTCAAGTCTAGCCTGGGCTACATAGTGAGTTCAAGGATAATCTGAATTACATAACAAGACCCTGTCTCAAAAAACCAAAAAAAATTTTTTTTCAGACGAACATAGATATTGTGCTTGGAAGCTTAGTTGATTTATACTCTGGTGCAAGCATATGGGTTATGTATCAGTTCCTGAACCAAGCTACCCTTTTAAAACATTATTTGTTACCTCTTCTGCAAATACATATGTTATTAATGCAACCACAATAGATTGTCACATTATATTATGGATGGTCCTAGTTTTAAGACATCTCTGATTCTGTTGCGCTTTGCACAGTGCCTAGAATTTATATGTGAAGAATACATATTTGTTGATTTACTGTTAAATGGTGTGAGATGTGAAAGACTCAACTTTGGCAATGATCCTTAGCCAATTCCAAGGTCAAACTTAGAAGTTGAAAGAGTTGAGACCATGAGGTAGTTTGACTTAGTAAAGAATTTTGATGCACTGAATATGAAGCTTCTTCCTTCCTGTGGGTGGTTTCTTTACAGAAACAAATATTTTCCTCATAATGGGGCTTTTTTTTTGTTTTGCTCTTTAAAAAATCTTTTGGTTTTATCTTTTTCTTACTATTTAAACAGAGGAATAAGCAAACCAGAAGAGCTAACTCCATCTTCTGTCTGATAGGTTTTGAAGAGCAGATAGCAATGGTATTGAAAATTTTATCCTGCGAAGTAGGATGAAAATGGCCTAGCCAGTAGCATACTAGGTGTTGTGTCTCCCTCCCCACCTCTGCTCAGCTCTGACTTTGATCATTTGAAGGCTAGTGTAATTCAGTGGTGCTAGCCCCTTTTAAAAATGTTTAATTCTTTTGAGGAAAATGACAGTGTGCCATGTCATGGAAGCCAGTGGAGGGGAGAACTTCAAGGAAGAGAATATGGTTAGTGGTTCAGATTGCTATGGAAAGGTCAAATAAAATAAGAACAAAAGGTGAATGATTTTCTGGCATGTAGGGCCTCATTGATGGGGATTCCAGATGATCAGTCCTTGGCCTTCTTCCTTGACATCCTGACATCTGCCTTTATTGCTCTCTTTAATTCTAACATCCACCCACCTCCAGTAATTTTTTTATTTTTATGTAGTACAAGTGGATATTAATAAAGAAAATATAAAAAAGCACTATTCTATGAAAAAAATAGAACAAAATTTTTATAACAAAATAGAATAACATTAGTTAATACATCATGTATCATAATCTTTTGTATCATAATAGTTATTACACTGTTAATACACTGTTTATCATAATCTTAAAAGAGTGACCAAAATGTTAGGCAGATTATAAGTAATAGACAAAAAAGACTCGCTTACAAAGAAGAAACACACAGAGAAAAGCACAAAACTTTCTCTTCAGTGAACTTCAATGAACTAAGAGAAACTAGTAGTATAAATGAAACAAATTACTGTATATGTTAAAGTACTTTTGAAACAACTGAATAGATAATTTGGAGAATTATTTGAACTTCTTTCTACCTCCAATTTATCTGCTATTTTGTGTTCTCTGTCTGTAATTTGTTTTTAGTTTCTCATATTAGAGACACCATGTAATAGTTAAGCTGTGTATCTGATTTAGTTCCCTTAATGTTTTCATGTTATGTCCATTTGCCTATGAATGTCTCAAGTTTATCTATTTATGGCAGAGTAGTACTCCATGGTGTATAAATATATACCACATTTACTTTATTCGTTCATTTGTTGATGGACATATGTGCTGTTTTCAGTAATTCTAAACAAGAGAGGTAGACTTTTCTGCTTGCCTTTGGCATGTTAGATGCTGCAACAGGAATGTGTTCAATTTGAATTCATTCAATACCTTTTACCTCCACATTTCCAGTGTTCTGCACCTGTGATAGCCAACCGGACTCCATCTTGTGCCTCAATGCCATTTTGTACTTATGCTTGAACAAAGTGTTTGCGCTTGAACAAAGCACCCAGAACCCCCACATCCTGCTTGGCAGTGAACTTGCTGCAGTTGCAGGATGTTTTATGTATATATTTCTTAGTTATAAAGATGACTATGTGGTTAAAATTTAAATATTTATTAAACTGATTTTATCTTATCCAGCTAAATGCTAATAAAAACAAAGGTCCTTAGAATTGGTGGTCAGTTCTATAATTTTATCTTTTCTGATTGTTTCCACATGATTTATTTATCAGGGCTTTTGGTCTCAGCCAGCCTTATTATTTACCTTCTTATACAGGTTTTTACCTCTTAGTTTGGCTTTTGCTGTTGTTTCTAGAAAATTTTACCTTTTCCATCTTTGAAATTCTGTCCATTGCTATGCCTAGCAGCAATCCTGCCACTGTGGGGGATAGTTTTCTTCATCTTCTAGAGGAATGTCTTGTCCTTCTTTGAATACAGTGTCCCTTTTACCTCTCTAGTACAGGTATCTTTTATTGTTTTATTGGTGAACTTTTTTTGCATATTTTTTATTCCTGAATGAATCATATACATTAGAAAGGTAAGAACATCTTTTACATGGCCATTTATATCCCATGGTACCATAGAAAATAGAAATGTACGTAAATGTTAATTTATGTAAATGGGGCTTGAAATTATTTTTATTATGGGTGTATTGTAATTCTGTTTTGGTATACACAAGTAAGTGATTGGAGAAATCTTGCTGAATCTTGTATTTTTCAGTCATGTTTTGAAAAATACCTTTATTGTTTTTAGAGAAGATGGGCATAAAATGTTGATCTGATTAATAACTCGTTAGAAATCAATACTGTAACTGTCGTACTTTTCATGTCATATTCTCACCACAGAGGGCAGACTACGAAGACAAACCAAATTGATCTATATTTGAATGCATTATTTTCTAAATATTGCATTGTTTTCCCTATATGAATATGAACTATACTCCCACGTGGTTTTGTGCAACAAGTGATTAAAGGAAAAAATTCTACTGGCTAGAGAAACTTGGAGAATCTTATTTGAAGATTAAAAACTACCTTAG